AAATTGTATCAAGATTATTTGCATATATTTTAGAGTTGATATAAAGTTAATGAAGTTTAATATGTTTGCATAATGAATGAAGTAAAATCATATTTAGATCAATTTAGATCTTGATTAGATTTTAGTTAAATTAACATCAATTTGTTAATCAAACTCATTCATTTGTCACTATATATGAGGGCTCAACAAAGCTAATTGAGACACATGTAGTATTTTACTGAGTAAAATCTATGTTTTTTTCATGGTAATAATCCGCAATGATGAATCTAATAATTTTCAATGTTGGATATCTCCTTGAGTTGAGTTATTAGTGTGAATGATTTCATAGTTTAATCCAAGAAGTTGACAACAGTTAAAAATCAGAAATTACACAACGAGACACAACACGCAATATATGTGATTCACTCAAGTCAAGGTCTACGTCCACAAGAAAAATTAAAAGAAATAATGAAGTTCTCCAAGGTGAAAGGTAAACACATCTACTAGTATAAAGTGGTAGCTAACATTGGAAACTAACCAGAGTTAACTCAAAAGTCCAAATTAAAAGTAACAATCTCCCGTGATCTCATGTTGAGGGAACATTAATATCCGTAACCTATATAACATTTGATCATACATTTCTAGAAAGAAATATAACAAAAGTCCAATCTTTAAACTAAAGTTAACTAGTACTAAACCATAATCAAAACATGATAGAGTAATAATATAAAGAGTTAAACTAAAATGTTAGTTAACTTTAATTATGATCTTTGTGCAAAATAATAATAAAATCATTAGTAAAATCTTTGATACATTACTTTATCAAAATATCATAGGGATTTACACAATATCAACCAAATGTGGAGGATTTATCTTACTACTGCGTATGATTGTTTCTTAATTTTCATCTGATAACAATTTTTTTCTTAACTGGCGTAGTTGACTTGGATACCATGTAACATTTTTTTATTTCTTTTTATTATCATCCACATTTGTCTTGAGTTGATGTTTAACAAACATTAGGATCAATTCTGTATACTTTTGGCATCTCTTTGAATTGCTCATCGTTAACTTGAATGCTGAGGCTGCCTTAGTTGATGATATCATTGCATTTAAATGCAAATAAACTCTATCAGTGATAAATACATATATATCTTCCGTGGTTGTAGATTATTTAACTTTGACTTATACTCTCATTATTGCAATATGTATGGTGAAAATTGCAAATTTAAAGACAACATAATGTTTTAATGTGGGGCTAAACAAAGTCGATCCAATTGGAAGGAGAATGAATATATATATATATATATAAAATAAATTATAATCTCATCACTCTCTATAAACATAATATTCTTTAGAATCCCATGGAAGTCCGATGCAAAATTTACTCACATAATATATTTATAAATTACTAGGTGACACATGAATATCCAACATGTGAAAACTATTCCCATACTCCAAACAATGGGAACAAAATAATATAGTAAAGAGCATGGGAAAATCCCATGAAATCTGTAGATGAATCAAAGTAAATGCAAATCATTCACCATCGTTGTGTCTTCATATGATAATTTCCTACTGTCATTTGATACGGACAAACCATAACTTATGATAATATTTCAACCCATCCAGAATTCTCTCTACACATGATCAATGGAGATACACGTGCGCAAGATGGAAACAAGAGGCAGTTAGAGAATATTAGGGAGACAAAAAGCTGGACAGTTTAGGGGCTGGATTGAACAACAACAATGAAGAAATCTATAGAATCCCGGGCTTAGAAACATCCCCTCGACTGTAGTTCTAACACGTTGAACTATAGATGAATCTTGGTTGCTATCGATAACAGAAGTTGCTTTCAATAATCCACTTACATAATGTACTGTTCACATTGAAAAACATAAAATGCACAAAAAACTCATCTGAAAAGTATATTGTAACCGTTGCAGAAAACTAGGGGTTTTCCAATTCAGTAGTCTATCATCATTTGAATACTCTCCTCATATTCATGCTTTTGGTTTCATCCCTATACTAGATGAGGTCTTCCGATCATTTTCCACACTGTATCTCATGTCCATCCGGCTAAATATTTCATCTCATCACGAGTCCGTCTAATTCAGTCAATTATTCTGTCTGAATGCAGGGGATGCCATTCATCATTCATTTACATTTAGAACTCGCTGGAGTAGATACGAGTTTGTCAGCCAGTAGGATGCTGTGCATAATCGTGTCAAGCACATGGTCGCCACGCTCAACGAATGATTATAAAACACGTAGATTTTGACGTCAAACGAAGACTACTTTTGGAGAATTTCTTACCTCTTCCGTCAAAAATTAATTTAGTAAGGACAAAATATTGGTGGCGGCAGTAGAGCACACGCTAAGCAACCACATCCCACACGACACCCTCACGATGCTTGTGCCTACCACGTTGTCAGAACAGTAGGAGGTGGGTCTGCCGCATCACATGGAGATTGCGCACGAGACCCTCGAGACCGCGGTTAGACTGTAGCTCGACCGCGCGTTTTGTATTCCCGGCGGATTCTTGTTGTGACTCCAGACGCATGCCCGGAACTGATGGACTCAATCTACTCGCGGTCGCGACCGACATCGGTTACTCAGTCAAAGAGATCGTGAATTCGTATCTACCTGATCGGAGCTGTAACCATCAGACCATCGCACTGACTCAGCTCGTGTACGAGCCTTGAAGACCCCGTCATCTCGGTTACGACCTGCGACCGCTGGGTTGGATATGATACCCGGATTTTTGCCTGTCCAGGGCTTTTACCGAGTCGTCTTTCAGTTTTGCTCGTGGAACATTCGCAGTTGTATATTCCTTCTTATCCACTCTTCGAAAATATTTCCCTCCACATCTACTTATAGAAAACTTGCGAACTGCACACCAACGACTTTAGACAGTAAGAATTTTCAGGCGTCCATGTTCATCGTCGATAGACTTGAGATCCTTTCAATCATAGAACTTCAATAATAAGATATTATTTATCGGCTTGAATACTTGGTATTCTATCAATTCCGACGTATTCTGTTGAATTTTCGGTCAAAGATGTCAATATTCTCTGGTCAAAAGCCGTCTTCCATGCTGTCCTTCAATAATATATATATCTCTCTCTCCGTCGATCATGCGTTGGAGAAATGCGCAGTTCGTTATTTTGGGGTTTCGACTCGGAGATACGGAGGGAAGATGGCCTTTCGAAAGGTAGGACAAAGACCTGGGGAATAAATTACTGGCTACATGTTTGTCTGAGGATTTAGGACAGCGGACAGCAGTCGGAGAGGTTGTATCTAGGGGCGGTACACTGCACTTTGCCTCGTTTTATGTTCTGCTCGTACATTCCCCTCATCGCCCCCGTTTCATTCAAACGAGACGGCCGTCGGCGCTTGCTTGATTCCCCATGTTTTGGGGCTCATTTGTCTCCACCCTTATGCCTCATCGACATTGTGATGCCTGCTGGAAAGCTCGATCGAGGAAGAAGTCATCGACCCATGGATAAGCTAGTAGGACACGACAAGAAGAGACAAGCTCTCTGAGATGTTTTTGCTTCATCGTCCTTTGGAGAAGCTTGAATGGGTAAATGCAAGAATGGCGAACTCGCAGAAATAATTGAACACATCAGTGCAAATTCCCTGGGTTCCAAAGTACACTGAGAGTGTTCAATTTACTAAAGTGACTCTATGCAAAGGTCGTTGGTTTGTTATGACATTAGCAATGCTATAGAAATTATGAACTGCACCAACAAGCTTTGCAATGTGGAATCTATCAGCCGGCTATAAAGAAAGCTCACAAGTTTAGCTTATAATTCAGCATAGATAATTCAGCGTCTATTAATCAAAGTGGACAGAACAATACCCTATTCCGTTTTTTACCCGTATTTGGAATCAATGGGGTTGAATTATTTTACTAGAAGGTTCATTATCAATCGGAGGAGTATCAAGCCAATAGATAATGTCGAGGCGGTATTTCGCAGAATAAACCGGAATGTGGTACATGATAGCTGTTGCTTGTACGGTTAGGGACTATTTAGACGAGCTCGGATGATTCTTATGAGTTGATGTCTGGGGATTTTATTCAAGAAATGACCATCGATCGAGTGGAACAAAGCTATAGATACATGAGGAAGGACAAAGTTGATGCATAAGACGTCTGGCTGACTTGGCTTGAACCAGACCAAAAATCTCCGGAATTGAAATCAGAGGGAGAATCACATTGCGGATGACGTGGACCGGTGCTAATGGCATCCGAAATTCCGAAACAGTACCCGACGGATAAAGTACAACGCAAGTACAATCAAGGTACACTTTGTGGTAAAATGGGTGGTACTGAGGTCAGGTTAAAGTTTCTTTACCGCAATAAATTACGCCGGAGAACTTGTCTTCGTCAAACATGCCATGCCCTCTTATTATCGGCGTCTACTAAAAAATAACATGTTCGTGACTCGACAAATTGGGAAAAAGAAACAATTCTTTGCAATATTCTGAAGAATCTCATGTGAATTTAGATCTAGAAAACTGGAGATTGCTCACTTGCAAGACAATTATTTTATTTCTAACACTACAAGAAAGCCAGAAAAAATGTAAATCGATATCGGCGTTCGAGAGATTAAACTGGTACATCAAGGAAAGAAATTGAATTTCAAGACTGTATATTCGGAATTTCTTTCATACATTGATATAGGAATTGAAGACATGTGATGAAAATACAATGGGGGCAAGTTTAGAGGAAGAAGACTCACTGCCCGAGTTAACAATCTAGGAAAAAGCCTCCTAAGAAAATGTGCACTCGGATCCTCAGGGGTTGATGAATCTCGCGATTCTTTCGTGTGAACTGTACGGCGTGCGCAACGAATTGCACGCTGTAGCGCGGATTCGCAAAAAATTATCGCTGATAATATGAAGGCGGGACTGGGTCCGGACAGTGGCCGCATGAATCGAAGTGGGAAAGAAAATCGAGCGGGCGAGGGAAAAATCGTCAGGGAGCAAGGAAGGAAGGTAGGGAGGGAGGGATGGAGGGCGGAAAGAAAAGCCGGTCGAATCTTATCGGACCACGCGCGCCCGGCGAGAGTGAAACGACAACGCGAGGTGAAACTGGGGAAGCCGGCGGGCGGACGGAAGGGAGTTGGCACGGCTGGCACCCACCGGAGTCTCCCAGATTTGACCCGGACCTCCCTGTAGCGGGAAGAACACAACAACAAGAAGAGACGAAATCCGGCCAGGCCACGCCGGGCCGGGCCGGGCCGGTCCGGTCCAGTCCAAGCCCAGCCAAAGTTAGGGAAAGGGGGACGGGGAGAACCTGCCCCGGCTTCACCTGCGATGTTCTCCGACCATGTTTCCATCCGTTCGCATGCCCATCCGACCATCCGACCATCAGACGTCCGGTCCGGCATCCATCCGCTCTTTTCCTTGCTGAGGAGGATCGGGAGATGATTAGCACACGCTCCCGGCACGAGAAGCCGAGCCGCGCACGGACGGAGCCCACCGGCCCGGCCCAACGCTCATTGGCGCGTCCGCCCAGGCGCTCTGGCTCGAGACTGACGCTCCTGGACTGCCCCTTTTCATTCGACTTCTTGATCCTCTGGGCGACTGATTCCTTCCTTTTCGCGCCGGAGCTCGAGCCCAGGACGACGACGAGGTTCCGAGAAGGAGCAAGTCGATCGGGGAGTGGGTGGAACGCGAGAGATGGCCAGAGGCAATGCTGTGGCCGTGCGGTAGGTGTTTGCTCGGAGCAGTGGCAGAGGAGAGGAGAGGAGACGAGAGGAAGGATGCAGATCTCTAGCCGCGAGCAGGAGCATCCCGTAGTACCTTGTCCAGCCACTCCAGCCCCTCGACCGGCATTGAACTCTGTGTGTCGACAAAGAGTCTGTTGAAGCGGAGCAGGAGGATGACGAGATAAAGGCGCAGTGCAGTTCTGCCGGTGTCGATGTTCTTTGTAGGGCGTGGCGAGTTGTAGAGGTAGTTGTAGGCCTCGCCAGGCCAGGTCAGGTCCTGTCAGGTCGGACAGTGGCAGGAAAAGTGAATGCGGTAGAAAGTGACCAATTTTTTATGAGCATGCTGATGGCAGTCTCGTCTGCAGATTGACAAGAGAGAGAGAGAGAGTGTGTGTGTTCCTAGGGACTGAGAAGGAGGTGGAACTCGTAGAGACGTATTGGAGGAGGATGAAGAGGAACGGAGAAGAGTAGAGTAAGGCGGAGGAGCATCGAGCAGAAGAGGGGGAGATGTTGGTGCAGTGCATACGGGTGAGGGGGAGGAAATGACGTACGGATTTTTTGTTTCGAGGTTTATGCCTAGATGTGGGCATGACAGGAGCAGGAAGAATCTGGTGACCTAAAGTACCGTGGGGGTGAGTGGGTTCGCTATTGTGGAGAAGTTGGAGGTGAATGGTTGTGATTGTAGAGCAGTGGTAGTGATGGTTTGGGTCTGCAGCGCAGGGAATGAATGTGGGGGAAAATGGTGGGACCGGTGAATTACGGCCCTGGAAGGCGAAGATGATCAGAAGTGGAAGTCATGGCAGCTTCAAGTACAAATTCGTGGCTCCACACTTCGCTTCTCTCGCCCTCATCACAGCAACAATCAGCTCAGCATGCTCTTTACGCAACAGACCTGCCGATGCACCACCCGTCTTCGCATTTGGCTCAACAGCATCATGTAGGTTTAGGGCAGCAGGATCATCACCAGGAGCACCTTCCGTGCGACACTTTCTGTCAGCCTCTGCATCACTCCCTCAATCCTGACTTTCAGCACTCGGCCGAGAGCCATCAGTTGAACGGTTTCAATGGAGGAGTCGGGGGCAGGTTAGCAATTTTCAACCTCCCATTCCACTACTCTCGCAAACTTGGCCGCCTGTTCATTGACTTTCTCGTCGGAGATGGAGAATCTGCTCTCCATTCCGCTGTACCCAAAGTTCGTTCCACAACCCTCCTGAATACGTAGCAGCTTACCTTGCCACCTCCGATAGCAGTTTTTTAATTTCAAAGTGCATGTCATCTTCTTTCTTTCGTATATAGGAGAGAGAGGGAGAGAGAGCAGTAGGCCCTGCAGGTAACTGTCAAGTGGAGGGGGAACGCTAGTCCCCACTCCTCATGACATTCCAAATTTCTGCTTACTCCCTTCGATCGTCGCCTCATCCCTGTAGCTGTGGATACTTCGTTCAGCAAGCATTGATTTTCTATTGATTCGAGTATCAGGAGTCATCCTATTCTTCCGTAAATGTGATTACAGTTACTGAGTTTCACCTGAATGATGTCGTGCAGTTGCAGCGGTCGTGTTGGTGTTGGAGGAGAAAATGGAGGTCATGTGTCGGCCAGAAAGGTTCACAAGGCAGATAGAGAGAAGCTACGAAGGGATCGGTTGAATGAGCAATTTGCCGAACTTGCCGGTGTGCTAGGTGAGCTTTCTTCTTTGTGCAGATTCTTTTTAGATATATATTAGTATGACTTACGCGCTGTGGAATCTTCGAATGCTGTGCCGAGGTGTAGCAGGTACGGAAGTTTAAGAGTGATTTGATAAGCTTCTCGTTCGTCATCTGGTCTCAACCTAGAGCGGTTCTTTCAGTTTGATGGATATGGTTGCATACAATCGTAAGTTTTCTACGAATTAGAAGCTGACATGCCTCGTCTTGGATGAAAGATCCTGATCGGCCGAAGAATGATAAGGCAACGATACTCGGTGACAGCGTTCAAGTAGTTAAAGAGTTGCGGGCTGAGGTGAAACGTCTCAGAACCGAACATACTTCACTTCTCGATGAATCCCGGGATGTAAGCTTCTCACCGTTCTAAACTCTCAATAATCACGTCTTCACTTCTTGACGGACCTCTGAAGCCTGTGTCAAGCAATGCTTCCTGATTCTGCCGCTGATTTTAGATGTACTTTATTATCTACAGTCTCATCTCTACAAAGTCATGTTCGCAGGCTTTGAATATATTTCTCATTTTTACCTGATGTCTTGCAGTTGGCGCAAGAGAAGACCGAACTTCGAGAGGAAAAGGCCTCCTTGAAGAACGAGACAGAGCAACTACAAGGGCAACTTCAACAACGGCTACGGATTATGTTGCCTTGGATGGGAATGGATCCATCTCTAATGATGGGAGCTGCACCATATGCTTATCCCATGGCTGTTCCGCAGCCTGGTCCCCCTTCATCGGAAGGAACTCAGACCAGTACAGCACCTCCAGTGCCGCAGTCCGTAGTTGCTCCTGCTGCTTACATTCCTATGGCTCCCACAGCTCCGGGCACCTTCGCAGTTCATCCAGCTTTGCAAGCGTATACGATGTTTGGGAACAGACCCGGTGAAGGCGGGGCTCCTTATATGCCATATCCCCACTATCCCCCCCAAGTCAACTCGCACTCTCATGTGGAGAGGCCTTACGCCCAGTATCCCTCTCCCGTGCAGCCTCTCCCTGGTTATCTCATGCAAATGCAGCCTCACCAGGGCCAACCCCCTATAAGCGGTGCTCCGCCTGGGCCTTCGATGTATCGCTCTTATGGACCAGGCATGCCATTGATGCCCCCCCAACCTCAAGCTAATCAGCAAAATGTACAGGCTAGAGCAAGTCAGCATCCAGTTGCTCCTTACGCTCACTACCCTGCTTCTGGGATGCAACCTTATTCTGGACCGTCCCTGTCCTCATCCCCACAAGCTTCTCCTGGTCAGTCAGTCCAGACAACATTACAATTACAGACTCCCTCGCAGCCGCAACCCCAAAAGCCTTTCGAAGCCTCACCTGTCAATAGCACGGATGGATCTTCAAAAGCACAGGTAGATGCATAGATTTCATTCCTTTCTTTTCTAGATCAAAAGAATCGTCAACTAGGATCGTCTTGGAAGAGTGGATGCAAGTCCATTGTGATTCTTTTGCAGCAGGATGTGGAGACTGTTGTTGTGGGCTTGCATTGTTTTGGCACTAGAGCTTGAGCGGAGGTTGTTCAGATTGTCCTGCCAGTACGCTTGTAGCGTGTCTGATGAAGGACGTTTTTTATCACAGAGTGGAGGCTCGGGATCTGCTTCCTCTGGACATAAGAAAGAGCCCAAACAGGCAGCAGCGTCTGGAGTGTCTGACTCGATTGCAAGCTCTCCAATATCATCAGCTCCAGCAGCTTCTGTCTCATCTACTGGGAACGGAGGAGACGCTGGACATTTGGATACTGGAGCTTGTCCCAATAGGGATACATCCCAAACTCATGATACCTCTTTCGGGAGGCCACTTGTGAAATAGGTCCATCACCATCAACTTAGCACACCCATCAGCGGGTTATTTTCTGCTAGACGCCTTCTTTCCAGTCGCCAAGTCTCAAATTTTGTAAGTGCTGAGTACTGAGCCCAGTTTGTAATTATCCACGTGATATGTTGTGTACATCGGTAGATCTGTTGAGTTCATTGAGAACGTCATTCCTGTTTATGGTGAAGAAACACACAGTACTTCAACCAACTCTTCGAGCCACAAAAGCTCCCGGTTCAAGCCTTGGCTGGTCATTATGACGAAGCTTTTGGTTGGAATGTGGAAGTGTGTTTTTGCACTGAGCAGGCACTATGACAGTTGTTGAAATTGTCCTGCTGTCAATTTATTCCAGGATGGCCCGTCCTTGTCACGATTACCATGGTGCAAAACGTGCTGTCCAGCTTGCTCATCGGAGTAAAGAATTGAAAACGAATTTGGTCAAAGTTGTATTTGAGCAACATGATGCAATGTTTCGTTGAATCGCATTCGAACTTCACTAATTTCTGCAATCCATGTCTTTAAAGGGTAACTTGTTGCAATATTCAGTGTTCCGACTACCTTATCGAAGGAGAGATAATAGCTCAGCTTGCTGTCAAAATGGCGGCTCATGGCTGTTCTTCATCTGTATTCCACCAGAGACGTCATCATATTTGGAGGACGTTACTGCTTCCGTGGACCTTACACAAACGGTCGGATGGTCCTACCATAACTGTAGAGTCCAAGAGGTTTGCACTGTTTCCGGCCTCTAATGATAAAACGCAGGTATCTGGAGTCCACGGTAACCGTCCAATCAACTCCCCAGTAACTCTTTGATCTACATTTCTCGTGGACTTTCTATCCTACATACGAAAAAATTATAGGTTTCTCTCGTTACCACAAATAATCGTAAAAAACTTCTAGGACGAAGAACTCTTGAACTAAAGGAACAAATTCTCGTCACTGAGAAATAGGAATTGAACATGAAGTTAATGTTGCAGTTGTCATATACCGAAAGCTCCAGTCGTCAATGTTCAATACGCCCATGTAAATCATACAACCATTGCAACCCAACCATGCTTGACAGTCAAGATTCATCATATTTTCTCTCCGTCCCATCTCAGACCGAGAAAAGTTTATAATTCATACTGATTCTGTTTAACTTCCTCCACCACCCAGTCGTGAGAAATCTTTTTTATGTCAAAGTAGGTTCATTCAACTCTGCTGGTGAGTTCTTGAGTTCAAGATCCCTGAAATCACTGGCCATCTTTATGGTTAATATGTTGATTTTCCAATCTAAGACATTCAATATGACTAGACAACCTCTATAGCTTGACGATTTGTTATCTTCAGTAAATGGATGTGAAGTTCCAATAACATTTTCAGGGTTGCTTGATTCTCTCAATGCACTTAGAAAGGAGTACTTCGTAGTATCTACCAGAATTATCATGCGCACCGCACCGAGAATATCATGAGTTTTTCCTGTTCACGAGGTGAAACTTAATAGTTTTCTTAGTTTTCTGACCCATCGGTGTAGCATCCGTCTCTCTTATATACTACTGAATCTTGCAATTATTTTCCTCACTAATATCTTTTATTATGTGATACTTAATGATTTTCGAACAACGAGAGGGTCTTCATACTAAATGATGAAAAGCTGACTTGAACAACCCTAGGGTCAGGCACTGTTTCCCATTACTTGTGAGAATCCTTGATAATATAAAAGTTTGTGCTTATAAGAAGCAGGGTTGGAAACAAGGCACAAAACATTTTGCATGCAGATTATATAAATATCAAAGAAAGAAATAAGAATCATAGAACAAGTTATTGCAGGTTGAAGCTTAAAAAGGTGATAAATGTTTACTTTGATGGTCAGCGTCTCCCGGAAGACTTACAAGTACTCTCCTGAACTTTGCAAATAAGAAAAAAATGGGTCTTGCAAGAGTTTGTGGAAGGTAGAAGTAATTATGAAGGTATAGAATTGTCAAATTTTAATTTCAAGAGATCAATTGGTTTTTAATCCTTGACTTGTAGATTTCATTCTACATTTTTTCTTTCCAAAGAGGGAGTGATAAATTCAACCTCGTGTTTCTCTACCAACAGTATCGTATGCGTAACAATGTAGGTTTCACACGTTGTATGTAATAACATTCACAGGTTAAATAAAATCTTCAAAATGTAATATATGTTGAATAATATATATATATATATATACCACACAATTTCCATCACGTATCCTATGCTATATTTCAATTGTACTTGTTTTTCAAAAGATATGATACATGATATAAAAAAATTTTCTTTGACAGTTTGAAGTAAATCAATAATAATTGAGTTTTAAATGATCGGTTAGAACTTTCAAACTATGTATTCATGTTGCTTTGATCCATTAATTTTTTGACTGAACATTCCCAAAAACTCATAATAACAGTAAATATTTTTTAATGACAAAGTTTTAGTATTATTGCAGATAGGTATAATATCATTGCAATCATATTATAGTGAAAATTAAGAATTCATGTGATTGATTCTTATTTTTTTCCATTATAATTTTATACGTTAAAAAAGTATTTGATTATTTGCAATTTGAATACATGTTTGATATCCATAGATATAATTTAATATATTATTTTCAATTTTTCAATAAAAACACAAACAAAGATAGCTAAAGACCATGATTACAACTTGAAGTAAATATTTTACCATGATGCATATGTTCAAAAGTAAAATAAAATTTTTTTTAAAATTATTGTTGAGTTTAACTCCGTTTAAGGAATAATCTCATGTTCTAACTATTTATAGCTAAGAATGTCGCCAGTGCTGGGGAGTTGAACTCAAGGATTTGTGTAGTATCAAAGCACTTCTTAGTGCACGTTCTCATGTGTGAGCTTCCCGGTGGATGTAGCCTTTGTGAACAACGATACAGTGGTTTCTCAACTCATCGTGTTGACTGTAATTTGATTTTTGTGTTTATTGTTTGTGATTTTTGGAACAATGCTAACAAATTGGCACCAGACCATGATTACATTAATGATCGCACAGTGTCAGTTAGATTGTGAGATTTTTGCTAGTTCGGGAAGTTACTGCCATGTGGCTCGTATGTTTAGATAATTACCCTCGCTGTTGTGTGTGGCAGGTTTATGTCTCAAGTCAAACGTAAATTTTTCTAAGACTATCTGATAGAAATTTGACACTGATATTTTGTTTTCAATGATGATGGTTTCTGTGACAAAAATTGTGGACAAAGCTTGGAAGAATTTGACAATTGAATTGTATCGAAGAAAATTAAATAATTGAGCTAGATAAGTTTGGACATGGTGTAATTTGGGAGTTGAAAGCTTGGTTAAACCTCTAGGTTGTTTGTTGAACTTCCTATAGTTGGAAATGTAAATCAATTGTGAAGAAATTTGCCTCCATATACTCTTCTAGTCCTCTTCTTGATTCGTCGAGCAGAAATTGCGATTTGTGACGTGAATGTTTCTCAACGATTTGTCGCTAGAATTCGTCGAATGCGCAAGTCTAAGAGTCAATTTGTGACCCATGAATGTGAAAATTTTGTTTCATTGAGGGAGAGCATGAAACATTTTTGGCTGCTTCAGCTGTTGCAACGAGCAAGAGGTTGTGCGACCTCAGACATTGAGCAAGGCGGCGTGAATTGAAAGAGAGAGAAAGAATTTGTGATTACAACATCTCAACTTCTTGGATCTTGATACTGCTTGCCGCGAAGAGGAAGCAAGATGTTGTAGTAGATCCAGACACTGATCGACATCAAAGCTATGAACCAACTTTTGCACGAAAGTATCGTGTATGGGAGGAGCATTGATGATGACTTGGAGATTTTGCTATCTCTGCAATATGATATTGAGAAGAAGCTTTTAGGATTTCAAAAATTGTTTGAGATTAAAGAGTTAGATATTTTACTTCCAAATCTCCTTGTACTCCTCCGGTACTTACATCATCGTGTTTATAACCAACAAGTCTTCATCTGGAAAGTTATCATTCACCAATTGATTGCATCCTTTATCATATGCTCGAGACATCAAGTCCGCATTAGCATGCTTCTTGCCAAGTTGATACTCAAAAGTGTAATCAAACTCTTCTAGTAACTTCCATCTAACTATTCTTACTTCAGCACTAGGTATGTTCAAAATATATTTCAAAGCCTTGGCCAGTCACTATAGTAAATCTTCCAGTCAACAAATAATGTCAAAACTTTTTAAGTGAAAAGATTACTGCTAAAGCCTCTCTTTTGATTATTGACTATTTCTTCTCCATTTGTACCATCTGTCTACTAGTATAGCAGAGTAGATGATCATGATTTTCATCATCAAATTTACTCAAGTTGCATCTTACATCAATATTTGATGCATTCATATAGAGAAAAAAAGTTTTACTCCAATCCGGTTCTGCCAAAATTTAAGCCGTCACTAACGTCTTCTTGAGAATCTTAAACGCCAACTTTGATTCTTCATCCTTGGAGATGAGCTCGTATTCTGTTTTCTTCTTCATGTATCTCGTCAAGGCATGAGCTTTGTTGGAAATGGACAAAATGAACCTTTGATAGTGCGCCATTATATCAAGAAATTACCTTAATTTGGTCAAAATCACCAAAAAAGTAAAATCCATGATCCTTTGCACCTTCTCTATATTGCAACCTCCGGGCTTACTCTCAATTAGGTTTACCTCAGATGGTTTTGCGGTAGTTCATCATGGTTCTAAAAGGCTAGGATTTTTATTCATATTCACATCTCAAAACACACTCTCACACATATCTTCAATTCATCACATTCACATACACATCGACACTCCTATATGCTAAAAAATGTCACTCTTTCATATATGAAACAAGTCTCTACACATGAATTCTCCAAACTTGCTTCAGAGGTTCTTCTCTAACTCTCTATATAAACTACTTGAGAATTTATCACATTAACAATTGATAATTCTTATTTATTCTACTTTTACAAAGATAGATCATAGTAAGTTTGACTAGTTCCTAATACATGGCAACATGTCATTTTCCTCCTAAATCTTATAAATGTTTACTAATTCTTAGATTCAGGTGGCTACATACCATTTCTGCCTTTCCAACTTGTAGAACTTCCACTTGCCACTAAATCATATTAGATTAGTTTAATCAATGAAATACAAATTACTTAGTTAAACTAATCAAAACTAAGCATGAAGATAAACGTTTATTCTATTGGAATCTAGACTTTTGCACAATATAAATTTGAAGTGTTCATTCAAATCTTTTAGAATTTTTCTAGTTTTTCCGCTAGGTATAGATATTATAGCTAAATATAATTATAACGTGATAAACTTAGTTACATCTGGTTAGACTTAGTCATAACTAAGCTAACCATGATTAATTGTTTGGTTACTTCTAGATATATTTCACATATATGACATTCAGTCTCACAAACCGGAGGTTGCAGACTTGGGCAAGGTAGCGCATGCCGTG